GTTGATTAATCTGCTCCGCTACAAGGAGGACTTCATCAACTCCGAGTAACGGGTATATCCACTCGCCCGGTATTGTTTCTGCAGGACTATATTTCCAGAATGGAACGTGGAGAGAGTTTTCTCGATCATATCATAATCACTTATTTTCTCCCCACATAACATCATCCTAGATGTAATTCCGAACATAGCGGAATTAAACTCACTAACACTTTTATAGTCCTTGAACCGGAGATGAATCCACTCGTGTTTAGCTTTCGGTAAGATCACATATTTCTGGTGATCGAACCTCTCTTTTAAAGATTGCCAGAGGTCCAAAGGATCCTCTTCCGTAATATACTCATCTTTTAAACCATCATGTATGTGGTGTCGTATAAATATCAAGGCTTTAGCCTTTTTCTCATCCGACACTGTTTTTGTATTATCGATGGTTTCCAAAAGCCTGTTTCCTCTCAGGTGCATCTTTGCACCCACTGCCCAGGTCATATAATTATTTCCCGTAATATCCAGGGCATTTATTTCGAGCTTTGTCAGATTCGACATGATAACTGTATTAATAGGATAATAATTTAAAAATATAATAAAGACGAGAATTTAAATACTTAATATAAATGCAGAAACTAAAAGCATAAAATAAAGGCATAAATTAAATTACATAAATTTAAATGGCAGAAATTTAAAAACATAAATAAAATTGGAGGTTTAGCCTTCCAAATGATCCGAGGAGACATAGTCTACCATGTTGATCACTTTTATCAAGGTTCGAGGAGACATAGTCTACCATATTAACCTTTTCTTTTTATTTCAAGATCTGAGGTGACATATTCATCAATTTTGATCTTTTTATTCACGGAGGCAAAGCCTATCACGTGTTTCTCTGATCGTGAAAGCATAGCCATCTTATCGATCAGTCCGGGAAGGCAACGCCTATCATCTCGAAAAATAAATGGAGAAGGCCTAGCCTCTTACTCCGAAACAATAATAAAATTACAATAATAAAAATTATTGAAATACATAAATTAAACATTACTTCACCAGTATAACCTTGTTTAATATTGGATCAGAGTTTCGTGCTGATAACGTGTTATAAATTATAACAGGTGAGATTGAATTTATATTTGTTGTGTGTGTATTAAAGTAACGAGAGAGAGATAAATAAATGAGAGAGACTTGTGTTTTTATTTCATTCGTATATCACTTACAAGAGTACATACCCCTATTTATAGTATGATTTAGTCGGTCATACTCAGATATTTATGAGGAGAAATACATATAATAATATGTCAAGCCGGTTAAGTTTGCCAAGAGGATAATCATCTTATTAAATATTATTTAACAATTCTCTCCATTTTTAATACTTGACGTTCTAGGAGAACATTTTTGTTTTTAAAAAGATGATGTTTTCAACTTTCTATGTAAAATTTGTTAATAGTTAATATAAATGAGTAAGAATATTTTATTATTTATTTTATTATTGGTTCGATTTGTAGTTAGATATATGATTAATGATGTATTTATTTAGAAAATATAAAAAAAAAATATTTTTTTTAATATAAGTGCACAATGCTTAAAACGAAAAAATAGGGTATTATAACAGAAACTAAATTGGGTACAAAATTAAAACCGGACCAAACACTCAACTGAACCGATCTCCTTTGTCCCCTGGTTCTGACAAAACGGCAGCTTAAAAAACCCTACTTTATGACGAGTACGGTTTTATCTGGAGCTTTGTGGTATTAGCACGTTGGCTCTCTCACTCTCTCAGACTTCTAACAACTCCACGCCGCAATCTGCAAGTTTCAAACTTCATTTGCTTCAGGTTCCACGCGCCGCAATGCAAGCCACCGTCCTCTCCCCACGCGCCACTCTCTTCCCCTGTAAACCTATCTTCCCTTCCCACAATGTCCACGACTCTCGCCGCCGATCAACCGTCTCCTGCTCCGTCCAACCCGTAACCGCCGACCCGTCCCCTCCTCTCAAGCTGAACAAGTACAGCTCAAGAATCACGGAGCCCAAGTCCCAAGGCGGGTCACAAGCCATCCTTCACGGCGTGGGCTTATCCGACGACGATTTGCTGAAACCCCAGGTCGGGATTTCCTCTGTCTGGTACGAAGGCAACACCTGCAATATGCATCTGCTGAAGCTGTCCGAAGCTGTGAAAGAGGGAGTGGAGAAGGCTGGAATGGTTGGGTTTAGGTTCAATACGATTGGTGTGAGTGATGCTATCTCTATGGGGACGAGAGGGATGTGTTTCAGTTTACAATCTAGAGACTTGATTGCTGATAGTATTGAGACTGTGATGAGTGCTCAGTGGTATGATGGCAACATCTCCATTCCTGGCTGTGATAAAAATGTAAGCTTTTTTTTTGTTTTTTCATCTTTGTGGTGGTTATGTGATTCATTTGCTATTATTGTTGTGTCTAGATGCCTGGAACAATTATGGCCATGGGAAGGCTTAACAGACCTGGGATTATGGTTTATGGTGGAACCATCAAGGTATCAAGTTTCCTAATTGATATATAAGCAGAGAGTTACTTATACCCTAAACCTTTGTAATTTTATTGCAGCCTGGCCATTTTCAAGAGAAGACATATGACATAGTATCTGCTTTCCAGGTACTTTTTTTCTTAAGTGCTTACAAGTTGTTGGATTATGCTTAAGAGATCTAGTACTTATATGTGTTTTTCAGAGTTACGGAGAATTTGTTGGTGGGTCCATAAGTGATGAACAGAGAAAGACTGTCCTCCATAATGCATGTCCTGGAGCTGGGGCCTGTGGTGGCATGTACACTGCTAATACCATGGCTTCTGCAATCGAGGCCATGGGAATGTCCCTTCCTTACAGGTTAGTCTTTCCCATACATTCCTCCAGATTTATGCTTATTTTGAAAGTTTATACCATTTACAATGTGGTTTTTTTCTTTTCATTGAAGCTCTTCAATACCTGCTGAAGACCCGTTGAAACTGGACGAGTGCCGTTTAGCTGGAAAATATCTACTAGAGTTGCTAAAGATGGACTTGAAGCCCCGTGACATTATCACTCCTAAATCACTTCGTAATGCAATGGTCACAGTCATGGCTCTTGGGGGATCAACCAACGCTGTATTGCATCTAATTGCTATTGCCAGGTCTGTGGGTTTGGATTTGACCCTTGACGATTTCCAGAAGGTCAGCGACGCAGTTCCGTTTCTAGCAGACCTTAAACCAAGTGGGAAGTATGTTATGGAAGATATACATAAGGTGCGCGTCTTTGGATTTATCGTTTTTGTTATATATTTTCTAATTGATCCTTTTGTTTTGATCTACAGATTGGTGGCACACCAGCTGTTCTTCGTTATCTATTAGAAGCTGGCTTTATGGATGGGGATTGTATCACTGGTATAAACTGCTTTACGTTTTAGAAACTCATATTAACATTGGGGTTGATAATTACGTTACTTTTTTTTTTTTTTTGTCTACCACCAGTGACAGGGCAGACTTTGGCTCAAAATTTAGAAAACGTCCCTCGTTTACCAGAAAACCAGGTCGGTTTGTTTGTAATGTTACTGGTTATTTCATTTCTTCTTCTTGATTATGGTGGATGTTTTCTGATTTACTTGTACAATGTCCTAGGTTATAATTAGACCTGTGTCAAACCCAATCAAGGAGACTGGACACATCCAAATCTTGAGAGGAGACCTTGCACCAGAGGGTTCTGTAGCAAAAATAACTGGCAAAGAAGGGTTATATTTCTCTGGTAATGTTGATTCGCTCTCATGCCTCCTTTTAAACTCCACATTCTACTTAAACACTTTTCATTTTTAGGTCGCTTATATAATAACTATTTTGTTTTAGGTCCTGCACTTGTATTTGAAGGGGAGGAATCTATGTTGGCTGCTATATCAGCCGATCCCATGAGTTTTAAAGTAATTTGCCTTTCTGATATGAATCTCAAGGGATGGTTAATTTCGACTATCTTCTGAGAAATGTATATCGTTTGTTACAGGGAACAGTGGTTGTTATCAGAGGAGAGGGTCCTAAAGGAGGTCCAGGCATGCCAGAGATGTTGACACCAACAAGTGCTATAATGGGTGCCGGTCTTGGAAAGGTACACTACATTTTACTTTAGTTAAGATCAGTATCATGAGTTGAGTGATTGAGAGATATGGCATGCTATATGTATGTATGTATGTGAACACACGTGTCTTGTTGTTGGTACTTGTAGGAATGTGCATTGCTGACTGATGGTAGGTTCTCGGGTGGGTCACACGGTTTTGTTGTTGGCCACATTTGTCCTGAAGCTCAGGTCTGTTTCGCTCTCTTTGCCCACTGGCTCTGCTTTTGTAATGTTTCAAATACCAAAACAGATTTGTACTAATGATGAGAGCTTTTCCTCGGTCTTCAAATACACTATTTATATATATGCAGGAGGGTGGCCCGATCGGTCTGGTAGAGAATGGAGACATAATCACAATCGACATAGGAAAGAAGAAAATAGACACACATGTCTCGGCCGAAGAGATGAATGAGCGAAGAAAGAAATGGACTGCTCCAGCTTACAAGGTTAACCGCGGAGTTCTATACAAGGTATTAATGTTGTGTGTATGTATGTATGTATCTCTCTCTCTTTGTCATTAGTTGCTAAATTTGGATGACATATGCTAAAACAGTACATCAAGAATGTGCAATCTGCTTCAGCTGGATGCGTGACTGATGAGTAAGCGAGAGGTCTCTGAGCAGTTTTTGTGAATGCGCAACAGAAAGTAATTGTGTTCACGAGGGAAACTGTACGGTCATTTCTTTAGTATCATTGTAGCTTCTGGATCATTTGTACTGTTTGTATTTTACAATGTCTCTTTCTGTCACAATGAGAACTTGTATGCTGCCAATAAAGACAATTTTGCATTTTTTCAAATAAAAACATTTATACATATAATTTTTTTCAAATCAAAAACATTTATAAATATATATGTTCTTTAAATTAAGGTGTTACAAGAAATGATATCCACTACTAACATATAGTATGGGTGACTCATCATTTTATTACTTATGCAAGTCTCATGACAAGATTTTGGGAAAAAGAAAATTAAAATTTTATTACAAATTAATTAGAAAAACAATACTTTTTCAAACTTTAGAGAGAGAGCTCCAAATAAATGGAATAATAACACACTTGAGGAGCAAATTGATTTCTCATTTCTTCTTCTCATTGATGCCAAGAGTGTTCTTGACACCATCAACGGCACCCTGAGCCATATTCTTTACCGACTCTCCAGTCTGTCCCCAAAAATATTTCCAACATTAGTCTAGATTACAAGTTTAGCTTCTTCCTAATTCATATCATATGTATAATCAGCAATGATTAAGCATTAATTTATCGAAATTACTTGTTGGATGAAACCAGGGGCTTGTTGTTGCCCGTGTTGAGCAGATTCTTTGGTGGACTGAGCTGCCTTAGCAGTTTTGTCGCAAGCACTGTGTGCAGTTTCCTTGACTGATTCAGTCCATTGCTCGGCCTTCTCCTGCCATATCACCAATATATACATCATTACATAACCGTATTCATGTTTATATAAACGACTTAAACAAGAAATCGGATGAGAAAAGATACGGTAGCTTGGCCCCTGGTCTGCCCAGCATTGTACGATTGTTGCAAGTTCGACATGATTTTATCAACTTTAACTTATATGAGGTGTGGTTCTTTATTGGATGATATTGAGTTTTGATTGATTGGTTGATTTTTCGTTTTGTGATGACAAGTCAATTTATAGTGTTCTTTTTTTCATTATTCGAATTATGGAGTTTGTGGTAAAGAAGAATGAGTAAACTCCGGTCGAGAGATTTGTGGGTGACCATTTATGTTATTTGACTTCTTCTCTAATTTTTACTTTGTTTTGTTGTTTTAATTTATTTTTGTTTTACTTTAGAAATGAGGATAAGTATACTGAATACTAAAGAAGCTAAGCACTTATATCGATCATGTAAATAAAACTAATGCACTTACATGGTGAAGTTTGTTAAAGTTAAAAACGGTTGTGAAGAAATGTGAATTAATTACGAAGAAAACAAGAACACTCCACGGTTGATGCAAATACTCATTTTAGAATTTGTATATTAATTATATATATGAGTGAGAAATTTATAAACTATTCTCTATATATTATTTAAGAATCATTTAAAAAGTTGTAACCTTAAGTTTCTAAGAATTAAAAATAACACCAATCCTATGTGGCATAGCTCTTTGGCTTCTATTTCAAATTCTAAATATTCTAGAGCATGTGATATAATGTATAGTTTAAAAATTATATTCTCTAGCAATATAATATTCCGTAGGCTATAGTTGGTCGCATATATCAAATATTTATTGTTTCGCATGCTTTCCTTAAATAAAACCTACGGAATTACCTAATGTGATCAAAATATATATATGACAATTAATGACTTTAAACAATAAAGATTTGATAACAATCTTTATACTTTTTTTCATTTTGTTTATTTCTTTATTATTAAAATAAATTACACAATTACATTAATCATATAATAAAAATCTAGATTTTTTTTTTGTGTTTGTTGTATTTCGAATTTTTCAAAATGAGTATAAATTACTAAAACTGTTAAAAGTCCAACATAAACTTTTAAGATCAAGGTTTTAATTTTTTTATATACTAAAATATAATGATTATAAGACCATATGAAGAAATAATTTTAGTTTATATATATATTTAATATCATTTTAATTAAACTATACATCGTATGAAAATACATATTTATATTTTCATATTTGCCTTGAACATATATTGAAAAGTTAATATTTAAATTTTGAAATATGTCATTGTTTTTTTAAAAATGATTATAAATTATTGAAACTACTAAACATCTCAAATTTAAAAAAAATCGTTGATGTAAAGTTTTGTTACACAAATATGCAAATAATTATAAAATCATATGAGTAGAAACCTCATTTAATAAATATCCATATTAAAAGTGTGTTATATTACTATGTTTATATCATTTAAATTTAATTATATATCATATACAATATATAAGATTGATTATTTTGATTTATTTACCCTAATTATGAATAAACAAGAGTAATAGTTAAATTTATATGCATACACCAATTTATTACATAATAGTAACTGATTTCTTAGTTATTTAATATATATTTATTAATTTATTATTTATAATATGCAGAAAGATATAAAATAAATAATAAATATAAAATACTTATTGTAAATAAAGTGCAGATCTTAACCTAAGTATTTATCTCTTTAATTATTTTAAATCTTAAGTATTTTCTAAAACAAACGAAATGAGAATAAAATTCAAAATAAATATTTATATCCAGTAATAACCAAAATAAAAAAAAACATAGCAAGATAAAAATGGAAGATAAATAGGACTGACACGTGAACGTAAACTTCTCATAAGGATAATTAATTTTTAAATTGTTAAATCATGATATAAAACTGAGTTAATTTTTAATTTGTTAATTTTTAATTTTTTAATTTTTTTAATCATTATGGTTATGTTAAATCATGACCATAATTAATTTTAAATTGTTTATTTGTATTTGAAAAACTTAAAATATTGTTTTTAAAAATAATTTAAAATTTAACATAATTTTTTATAAATTATTTTTTTTTTAAAAATAATTTGTAAAAAAATATAATTTTCTAATATTATTAGACAGATAAATAAATTATATTAAATTAGTTTTGCAACTTTATATATTTTAAATACAAATATTTTACCAATTGCTTGTTAAAAAACATTAGGGAACTTGCTAATACTCTACCAATCAAGCCCAGTGACACTCCATTTATTTTCCATCACTCGAACACTGAAAAGTGAAAAAAATATATGAAATCAGATCCATTAAATTCTAAGATTTGATCTACATTTCTAACTAAAATTGTTTCTGATCCTACGTATAGATAATTATATAAAAATTTCAAAATTCTGAAATTTCAAATACATACAAAAACAATCATATGTAAATTTTAAATTTTTCAATATTAAAATTTTAAATTTTAATTATATATATTCACCTTGTGCAAGGCGCATGTCTTATCCTAGTTAGACCTGTATTTATAAAGTTTTCAAACCCTGATATTCTGTTTTCCTTTAAAATAACAATGCAAGCAAGATTTTGTAGATGTCAATAGTCCGTCTGACGAAGTGGTTGACGAAGTCACCGATGCATGTGTGTCAGATATTATCTCAAGAAGTAAATGATGTAAAGGAAACATGCTGACATACTTTAGAAGATCATCATGCTGACATACTTTAGAAGACTATCATGATGCATCAATTCTAAAACCCTGCTAAAAAAGAAAAAGATTGTTAATGCAGATTTTGAATGAGTTTTAAAAATCAACATGTGATGATAAACTTGCACATGGAAAGTGTTGAAAAGGTTAAAAACATCCTGGTGTATGATACATGCTAGGTGAAAGTACTACGTGAAGTCACTGGAAGTGAGTGTTGGTTGGATGATGTGAGTGAAGATGCAAATTTCAAGTGAGTGAAGATGCAAAGGTCTGACATACATCTTGTACGAGTTAGAAGTGCAGAAGGATCTATAGTAGGATCTACAGCAAGATCGAAGAATGGCAAGATCGAGTTGGAGCTAATTGGATTGCTTGCAAATTGGATTTGGAGTCGAGCTGGAACTTAACTGAAAGTTAATTGAAGGCTAAGCAACCAAAGATTTACCTTGGAGAAAGGAGATTCATTGAGGAAATATGTTCAAAAGACTTTGTATAAGATTTGGAAATATTCCATAAAGAAATATTTGGGAATATCTCTTCCTAGTGGTAGCTGGCTAGTGGTAGCCATGAAATCTACTGAGTATAAGTAGGTTGTGGGAGCTTTGTATCGAGCTCAACACACAGAATTATATTCTTAGCATATGAGTGGGTTTCATAAGCTTGTAAGCGAGTGAAAAAACTAAGGGCTAAGGGGAGAGGTTCTAGAGATCTTCTATTCGATCTTAGGACGTGTGAGGCTAGAGTTTTCTTTTTAAAGAGAGACTTATAAGTTCACTTTAAAAGAGATCTAGTAAATACACATATCTTTGCAGAGAAATTCTTTGTGTTCATCTGGTATTGTACTTGGTGACATAGTTCGTGACACAGTACACGTAATACTCTCTGTATCAGACCCATCTTGCACTAGTGTAACTACCAATTCCCCTTCCATGTTCTGCCTCTTCCAATTCCACCCTTTTGTCTCATCAAATATGACATCACGGCTCACCACAATCTTTCTTGTTTCCGGATCAAGTAAGCGATAGGCTTTTAATCCCGGTCCTGTTCCAAGATGAACGAGCATCCGAGATCTATCATCAAGTTTCTTCAACGGTTTTTGATCACTCCTTGCATAAGCTATACACCCAAAAATCCGAAGATGATTAATGTTTGGCTTCTTTCCTCATAGAACCTCATATGGTGTCTGGTATTTAAGTGCTCGAGTAGCAATCCTATTAATAAGATATGTAGCATGTCTCATGGCTTCTCCCCACAAGTGATTTGGCATGTGCATGTGTTTAAATATGCTCCTCATCATCTCCATCAATGTTCTATTGCGTCTCTCTACAACACCATTCTGTTGTGGACTGTATAGAGTGGTTAGATGCCTTTTCATACCTGACTATGCACAGAATTGATCAAACTCTCGAGATACAAACTCACCTCCTCTGACTGTTCTGAATGTTTCTATCTTTTCTCTTGTCTCTTGTTCTACTACAAGTCTCAACTTCTTGAAGTTTCCAAGAGCTTCATTTTTCTCTTTCAATAGCATTGTCCACATGTATCTAGTGTGGTCATCTATAACCACAAATATGAATTTTTTCCAGCAAGTGTAGTAGGTGTTATGGGACCACAGAGATCACCGTGTAGGAGTTCAAGTACTCTGGTTGCTCGATATGAAGTGGCTTGAAGGAATACTGCTCTTGCTTGTTTCCCAAGTAAACAAGATGAGCATATTTCTTTAGTAACTTTGACATTAGGAACCCCTTTAACAAGCTCCTTTTGTATCATAGTCTTCATTGTTGTTGAGTTAACGTGTCCCAGCCTCGCATGCCATCTGTTAGACTCACTTGTCTCACTTAGGTAGAGTCATGCAGCTTCTCTTATTCCCATACGAACCTTGTAAAGCTTGTTCTTCGATCTGTTTGCTTCTACAAGTAGTTTTCCCTTTTGATCATGCATAGTGAGACGTTCTCCTTTCAATCTTATATCACAGCCTGACTCAGTAGCTTGTCCAAGGCTAATGATGTTACTCTTTAGCTCAGGAATGAAGTAAACATCAGTCATCTTTCTTGGTTCACCATTCATATCGATGAAGGATATAGTTCCTTTTCCTTTTATATCAATCCTCGAATCGTCTCCAAATCTAACTTTCCCTGCGATATTGTTGTCTAGAAACGAGTACCTTTTGTCACCGGTCATGTGATTGCTAGCGCCGTTATCAAGATACCAAATATCGTCTGCATCTGTGTTGGTATCGTACTTGTCAGGGATGCAGTGTTTCTCGTTTAGGTGTACCACCTCGTGCATCATGAGTTCATCTGCGTCTTGTGTATCACTGTTATCATTCTCATGTGCTTCTTGAAGCTTCAACAAACGGTCAGGACAATCCGTGACATAATGACCTACTTTGTCACAACGATAGCATACAACTCTTGACGCATCTCTTGGACCATTATACCTTCCTCTGCCTCGTCCTCTGTAATATCCTCTGTTTCCACGACCACGTCCTCACTAATCCTTATTGTAATCTCTGTTTTGGTCTCTATTTGGCTGTGTTGCTTGATTCTCAGTGTTGGAGTACATTAATTTGGTCTGATCTTCCTGTGTCTCCTCTTCCTCTTCTTGTATGCGTTCTTCATACGCTTTTAGTCGACCAATTATGTCTTCGAAACTGGTTGTGTTCAGATCTAGCACTTGTTCAAGGGAGGAGACCATGTGGATGTATTTCTTTCGTGGCAAGCACGCTAGAAATTTCTTGACGAGCTTCGGTTCTTCCATGATCACTCCTAGAGATGCTGATTTAGATGCTAGCTCAGATATTCTTCCACTAAAATCATCTATCTTCTCTGTATTCTTCATCTTCAACCTCTCGAAATCACTCATTAGAGCTTGTAACCTAGCCTCATTAACTCTTTCCGCACCAACATACCTAGCTTTTATTGCATCCCACATCTTCTTAGCTGTGTTGAATTCTCTGATTTGTAAGGTTCAGGCTTCAGGTATGGATTGAACCAAGAGTGTTATAGCCATGTTATTTTTATCCCCTTTGGTGACTTCTTCTTCAATTGCTTCCCATACTTTATGGACCTTTAGGGCAATCTTCATTCTTATTGACCACACCGTATAGTTGGTTGTAGTTAGCATGGGGCACTTGATGGTTGACGATCCTCCTCCTTCATTAGGTTTCACGTCTGTAGTTATGATTTCTCCGCTCATCTCTTCGTATCGAAATACTCTAGCTCTAATACCAAATATTGTTTTCAAGATCAAAAGTTATAAAGAACTCATTCTTCTTTATTAAGTTTTAGAAAACTCACTCAAAGACTAAAGCACCTCAATCTCGAAAACAACTCAAGTCATATCACATCTAGAGATGTACTTATATAGAGATATAGATTACATATTCCTAATCCTATATAACAATATATATTAGATAACTCCTAAATATATTGTAAATCTCAACACACTAGGATTAGGCTTCCTTTTCTTTATCCTCAAGCTTCCTTAGACTTCAAGCTTATCTCAACAGTTTACACCAAAAATACAAAATTAATTTTAGATTTATGTATCTGAATATTATAATTAGTTCTTTAATAAGAATAAAAATCACGTCTTTGTAGTCTTTTTAGCTATTCAAATGTTATTAACTTATATAAAATTAGAAAAAAAAAACGCACTAACATTTTGATGCAATATTTAGATGTTGTATTCACTCCATGTAATTCTACATCAAATACAAAAACAGACATGGCCTAAGTAGCCTGAGGACGAGGGAGACGGTGCAGCCAACGAGGAAGAACATAATGGGAAAAGAAGAGATTGTTAGGGCCACCTTGATACCGTGAGAGATTGAATTCATGGATGCTGTCCATATACTGGCTACACCAGTTAAAACTCAAGCTGCAACCATCCATACACTTGCCATCATCTCCTTCAGCTTCTTTATGAACACTAAACACACCAGTGCGCAAGTTAAACAGGACCAGACCTTTCGCGGTGCTGTTCCACAAGTAGATAATGTCAGAGTTCAAAGGATGCATCACCACGGGGAAATAATCGACGATACCAGATTCAATCAGAGACGTCAACTTGAGATCCCAAAAGAGTTGCCAAGCCTCAGGAACATTTTCGTACTTGACCAGCCTCCAAACCCGTAACGTCCATGTTTCATTCTCACGGAACTCGTTGAAGTACACAATGGATCCTTCAGAGGCAGTAAAGCTTCTCCTGAAACGTCGTAAAGCATCAACATCTTTGCCATCTCCAGTGACCTTACTACCAGGAAAATGCATGATACGACAACTATAATCTCCATAGAAATCGTAAGATACAACAGAACCAGCGTCGTTGTCGTCGTCGTCGAAAGTAAGAGTATCATCTGAAAGCCAGTGAAGCATGCCATTCAAAGCAATGGACTTGTCTTGTCTATCCCAGAGCGTGGAGTGTGGACAAGACACATGTTGTTTCCTCCACGTCCCTGTTTCAGACGAATAAATCATAAAGTCGAGTTTATCAGATAATTGATGGTATGTCAACATCCAGACAACCTTGTAACTCACAACAACCCCACTCCTCATCTTCGTAACCAAACCAGTGTCACTGAAACGCTCCTTCTTACGTAACCTACGAAGATCGCGCGAGGAGAGAAACGGAGGGAGAGGGAGTTGAAACCACTCTTGCATCAGCGGATTTCCGATGTAATACATAGGGGATCCGTCCCTAGCTTCGGCGTAGACCGAGACCAAACCATCGGTACAGGATAAGACCAAGAGTTTTTTGATTGCTGTCTCGGCGAAGAAACACAAGAAAGAACCAGGAGAACGATCGAGACCCCATGTGTTGCATCCATGGTGGCCGATGATTTCGAGTGAGAGTTTGTGTGGTTTGGTTTGGATGATTGACCAGGAGAGAGAGGAAGATGCGTTGAAGGAGATGTAGTAATCTCTGAAGAAGTCGGAGTCGATGAGCGATCTCCATTCTTTGCTTACTGTTCTGAATCTCGCGATGCTCTTCAGTGGAAATCGGGACAAGACGTTGACCAGTGCTGGTGCTGGAAGATCCATTTTCGTTTACGGCTTCTTTTGATTTCTTCTATTAGGTTTTGTAAAATCTATTCGAGATTGCGACTCACTACTTAAAAAGAGATAAAAATATATTTTATGATTAAACTACGACGAACCTAAATAAACATTTTTTTGGAAAATTGAAGCAATAAACACCATTTTAGAGTAGTAGTAGAATCAAATCACAAATAAAAAAAAAAAACAAGATCACCTATAAATATTTTTATGATAGAAACATATAAATAAGAAAATGACTAAAATAAGTTTTAATAGAATGGTAAAATATATTTGTACCCCAACTAGATATATAATTAAATAAATAAATATCAAAACATAAAAATGATTTTCCGAATTTTTTTTTCTCATTTTTCTTTTTGATTTTTTTTTATTTTTCTTTAAAAAAAAGTTCTAAAACTTTTTTCAAAGAAAAATAAAAAAAAAATCAAAAAGAAAATTTACTTAAATTGGTGACCATATTTTTTAGAAAAAAAAATAATGGTGAAATTCTATTACTCTAATTTTATACCATTTATGTTGATTTTTTTTTGTCAGATTACAAATATGTGTGGATCCTACGCTATTCCTCCTATTTCCTAATGAAAGAAAAAAAATACAAAACAGAAAATCCTCCTTCAATATCGATGAGGAACATATTGAATATAAATACATAAATTTATGTTTATTCATTTCCTCAACTGGAATTTCATTCATCATATTATTAGTTTTCCGTTCAAACAAATTTTCACCAATTAAACTTAAAATATAAATGGTTTTCTTTAAAAAAATTTATTTTGGTCATTTTGACATTTGTAAAACTATATTTGTGATTAAAAATATTGTTGTCCTATATTTAAAAAAAAAACAATTCATATTTTTTTGAGATCAAATCTAGTTACTGTATATATATATATATATATATATATATATATAATCATACAATGTATCATTTTTACCTTTTTTCACAAATTAGAAAATAGTTAAAATTCATTTGTGCTCTTACCAATTACATTTTATTTAGCAATAATATTTAAAATAATTGAATTTATTTTTAAGATCAAAATGCTTTATAATTAATATTAAAATTAAAACACGTATTTTCTGTAATAATGTAGTTGATATATATTGTTTATTTGAGTCATGAAACTAAAACGAACATTGTGAAACTATAATGTCTAACCAAAACTACACCGGAGTACTATGGTAATTAGTATATTGCACTATAATCAACAATTACAAAAATTCAAGTAAATAAACAACAAAAACCGCACTCATAGAACCTCTCTGTTCAAACTTTCGTGTCTCTCCATTTGGAACTCTTTTAAAAGTGTCTGTATTACACTCACTATATGCTGTCTTCTTGATTTTCTTCAAGCCAGATGAAATCCAAATTTTTGGATCAAAAAGCTGAACGAATTCTTCCAAACCAATAAGAGAAGAAGCAAGAGAGGTGCATGGTTGTGCCAGGATGTACAGAATAGCTGAGAAAGGCGTGCATTAGAGAAGCTTGCTTGTCCTTCTTTTTGATGGTCCTCCTGGGAACATCTTCATGATCCATCCTAGAACCCTTTCTACCACCTGAATGGAGAGAAATCATTAACATCTCTCTGTTTTTTTTCAGACCCAAGTTTGGAACTCTGATCAGAGGAGATAAGAGAGAGAATGTACCTCATCGCCCTCATCTGCAATTGGTGGTCTCTCTTGAACAACATGAGAATCCGGCTGCTTAGCAGGGGAAACATTGTCTATCGCCATATTCTGTGCTGTTAGTAGCTCTAACCTTTGCGTTTGCACTTCAAGTTTTCTGGATAACTCTTTGTTCAGCTCCTAAGGTTAAAGGAACATGACATATATAAAGACTTGAGAAAAGACACAATATAACAAAGAAACACAAACATGAAAACGCCACTTAATTAAACATCAAGAAAAGACCAGATTGTATCTATTAAGACTATGGTGAGTAAGATAAAAGTTCATGGAGCCATACAGAAATCATGGCCGGACTCGGAATTTACCTTTACCCGAGCAGTTTGAGATAATTCAGTTGACAATGCTTGCACCAGTTCCTCTTTTTCAATTGCCAGCTGCAACCAAAGATGCAAAATAACTGTCACGTTATCATCCAGATTGAGAAGTAATAGCACCTAAGTATTGATTCTCACAGCTATAGAAAACCAGAACAGAATATAAATTCACATAAATAATACATGACTACTACCTCAGCAATCAGCGTATTAATGTTCTCAATCAGTCTCATTTGATCAGCTGGGACGCTCAATGGAAAGCCTTCAAGAGTTAATTGTCCAGTTTCATCACTGATAGCTGTATTAGATGAATCACTTCCCAGCAGAGATGTAGAATCTGTTTCCTGGTTCGAGCTCCCTGGCATGGTATATGAGATTGATGCACCAAGAAAACAGTGAAGACACAGGTTAATGGTATATTAAATTTCATACTAGTCTACAGGTTTAGGAGAAGACTACACAGCCCATCGACTAGAGTCTTCGATAGGCAAGTTTTACACGTTGAAAAACAAAATTGAAATTTCTTTTTACATGATGACAAAGATGCAAATATATTCATTTAGAGATCCAAAATATGCTTCAAACTTCTATAATAGCGCGCACGGGGTAGTATACTACTGTTATTTTATAAAAGAACCATTACCGAGGCCTTCTGTAGAGGTTGATGCGTTCTTCCGGCTAGTAGAGCTTTTCCCGAGATCAGTGGATTTTCCACCAGCGGAAGCTTTCTGCACCATAGTCTGTAGGACCTTCTTCTCTGAAAAAGACGATGAAGAATATAAGATGGATACATCATATGTAGAACCACTGAGCCACATTTCTTTTCAGAGGAACAGATCTCAGTGTGCATACCTTCCTGAAGAGCTTTAATAGTAGATTGTAAGTCTTGGCGATCTTTTTCTAGGCTCTGTAATTTTTTCCTATAGAAGTTAATAGTTAAGATGAGAATCCCAGAATTTACAGATCAAATTCCAAGCGGTATATTTTGGACCAAACATCAAGCAAAACTGAAGATACAAAAGGTAAATAACAGTACAGTAACGAGCATACTTGTAAGATGACATTTCTCCTTGTGCACTCTCAAGTTCCCTCTCCAGCTTTAACTCATTAGATCTGAGTCTGAGTGCCTAATATTGGTTCCAAGAAAATGTTAATCGCTAAACAGATGAATATGAGCATCTTAAGGTAGAGGAAACAGATATTCACACCTCAACAATTCAAAAACTAAATAAAAATATCAGTCCAATTTTCACCCAAAAGCTTACAACCTTATCTTCCAAACTTATGACTTCAGAAGCCAGTATTTGGGAACGCTCATCAGCAGCATTACATTCTAGCTGCGCATTTGCATACTCATTCCTGACAGATTCAAGTTCCCCCTGAAAGGAAACAAGGGTTAAATCAAGTTACAGATTTCGGGAGAATCAATACAATAGCTCCAACGGATGGATGAACATGGCATACAGATACTCAATCAGATTTCGAGATTCAAACTCAAGAAACTCAAATTTGAGTCTCATATGTAACCATCAAGAAATCTGATAACTAGAATGCCTACACGTAAATATCCTGCTTAATCTATACAATAACTCCAGCAAAGGAATGCAGCAAAATGCAATATCATGCCTTACTAAAATATACTGCTAGGACATATTAAACTGGATTTGTTGAGCATATGTAGTTAATAGGATACTAACCATTTGTGCTTGGATCTGTTGATGTAGCTTCTCCATGTCATCTTTTAGTTGGTTGACAATACTTCTCTGTATAAGATAGAAGCGAGAATAATTATTACATGAATTATTGGGAGGTTTGAGTTCTTGCAAAGGTCACTGGACACATGTCTATAGTAAACAAAATAAGACATTGTTCACGCTCAACAGTATATAAGCCCAGTAACTGCCAATTACGTAGACATCCTGATAAATGTTCTCCAAATTCTTTGTTTTAACAATATCTTTGTCTTATTTGTGAATGCAGCAATGATTTAATAGTCTAAACTCTAATAATGTGTTTTTGACAACATAGTCTAAAAATGGTTTAGAGCATGGCACTTCCAAAAAGAGACTCAATTCACATCCGTTCAATCATGAAATAAGATTTTAATATACGCATATCTGATGGATCGAAAAATAGGTGACAGAAAACTCTTTCGAGCAATGAAGCATGAGTAAACGAAAATAATTTGTCAATTAGTATGCTGGACACTATCCAACAAGAATGGCATAAGTCTTCAAGTACCTGCTGGTTATAAGTGTCTGTCATCGAAGAATTTTCAGATGCTAAGGATTCTGCCAGAGCACGTGAAGCATCAAGATCCCTTTGCAGTGAAAACTTTTCTTGTGTTAAATCCTCAATATGCTACAAATGAAAATAAGAAACCATATCTCAGAATAAGGATTGGTCAAAGGGTGTACAAAGGGCAACTATGAAAGCTAGCATCCTGAAGTAAAATAAAAGTGAAATGCATGACAATGTATAAAGAATCTGAAACACCATCGAGAGGCATCAACCACAGATCTTTGACAAATTGCTAATGTACATTTATAATGAGATCAATTCCCACTCAAAAATGAGAAAGGTATCTCCTTATCTGAAAACTAATAAAACATATCGACAATACATATACAAAACAAAAGATGGCGGCAAGAAATAAGTAAATTACCTGTTCCAGAGTACTAAAATCATCATTATGTTTTGGGATGGAGTAATCAGTGAAACCTGGCGTTACTCCATTGGCAACAGGAAACAAAGGACTCGTGAAATTTGCATATGAATGAGAAGCATCAGGTGCTCCGCTTGGTCCATTACTGTGAGTTAATTGGAGCGATGATGGTCCAAACCCATCACCGCCAGTTAATTGGGAACCACTTGATGTTTCATGAATCTTAGGGTGTTGATATTGAGTCTCTGGAGGTTTAGAAATATTAAGGGAATCAAGGAAAGATGGACGATTTCTCTTCAAAAGTGCTTCATTTTTAGCTGAGTAAGAGCTTGCAGCGTAATCTGAAGATTCAGAAGGTCGAGATGTAGCAGCGTCCGGAGAACTAAACAAGTAACTGCTAGACAAAGTTGGCTTCTGCAAAATGCTGCTACCTCCTCCTCCTAATTCACCACTTCCCTGTTGGTTGTCGTGAATAGACTCTGCCATCTTGGTAGTAGGTTGTAGAGAGTCTAGCAACAACCAAAAAAAAAAAAACGTAAAGATCAGTTAGGTTGTTCCGGCTTTCTCAATCTCACATCATAATAGCGGGGTACCTTTTCTTGATAACATAGAAAAGCCATCACTTTCCCTTAGAAAAGAGTATCCACTGAATTGCTTGTCTCTATTGATATCAGGCACAACAGCTTCAGGCCTCCTATTATTCGTTGTTAAGTCATTAGAGGATCTCAACTCTAAGCTACTAGATGTGCCCACTGACTCATCTCTCTTGCTTCTTCCATCGTATACATCTCCAAAAGAAGATGAGGATTTGGATTGGGATCGGGTTTGGGTTTGATTGAAGGAGATTTCAGCAGCAGGTTGGCTGAGAGGTCCATTAGAGATAGATGCAACAACTTCTCCGCCATCTGAATCTGCGACGGTGTTATCAAGAGGTTGTGTCGTATTATTCTGTGATGCCTTTTTCTCTCGTTCTGCTTTTTGCTTCCGGAACTCCTCAAGCTGAATCCATCAATTTAACAAATTATTCAGAAAAACCACAGTTTTGTCAATTCTTATAACCAACAACAATTATGATGATCTAAAGTAAATCTACCTTACGCCGTCCAGCCTCTTGCCTCCGCTTAACCTGAGCTGATGCCATTGAAACCAATCCTTTATTTTATTACAAAACTACAATTGAATCCCATTAACACATGCCATTCCGATGATACCAGGGGACAGACCGATCCTGGCGCAAATATTGTTGATATAAGGGGAATCTCGAGAAAGCCTATTCCAAAAATTCGAGGCAATTTGTTTTTAGGGTTTTCGATCCCAAGGAAAGAAGGAAGGAGCCAAGTTTGTTCGTTTGAGATTTTGGTTTCCTTCTCCGCCCAGATCTCTTTTTCTTTTCTTTCTGATAATTATAACTTCTCTTCTTTTTTTCTTCTCACTTCGATGCTCTTTGAACGTTTTTATTTCTCTTCTTTCCGTTGGTTGCAACATATTTTTAGTCTTTTTTTTTTTCATTTCAAGCTGTGAAATAAAATTTTATTAAGCTTGTTTCACCAAAATAAATGGGGAAAAGGAGTCTAATTGTCTAAAACTGTTGAGAAATGAAGATGGTGGTTGGGACATATCCGGAAATGGACCAGACCACATCAGTCTACTTCAGTCCCAAGCTTAGGCGGCCAGCAGCTTGTCATTATCCACACATCCAGCTCCTTGTATTTATCCATATGTTGTAGTTATCCTAATCATTATAGGATTAGGATAATCATCCCCTTTATTGTTGTAATCCT